GGGGGGGGCGGGGGGGCGGATCCTGCAGGATCTCAGAGGAGGTGCTGAAGGCCTGCCTGCCCCTCACTCCCTTCCAGGAGCAACCAGAGCACCAAAGACCTAGGAAAAGGCACACCCTGTCACCTAACCTTTGACACTCAGCTGCTCTTTGTTCTCCAAAGACTAATAATGCTCTTGGGCATTGGATAGGTGGTGTGTTAACCCTAGAATGCTCATCCTCCCGTCTGTCTTTTCACTTCTGAAAGGTGCTCTTTAGCATCATTGCCTCCAGGAAGCCATCAGTGACTACATTCCCACCCTGCCCACGCCCACCCGAGTCTGGGTTAGATGCCCTCCCCTTGGGCCTCCAGGGTCAGAACTCTTGATTCTGTGGTCAGTTCTGCATGCCTGTTCCCAGCAGCTTCTTGGGTGTAGGGCTGAGTCAGGGACCAGACCAGATTCTAGCCCAGAGCAGCTCTCTCTCACTTCTTGGGACTGCGCCAGACCTGGTGGCGCAGCGGGTTAGCTGGGCTACTAACTGAGAGGTTGGTGGCTCGAACCCACCAGCTGCTCTGAGGAAGGAAAATGAGGCAGTTGGCTTCCGCAAAGATTTATAGCCTCTGAAATCCATAGAGCAGTTCCACTCGGCCCTATATAGGATGGGTGAGTCAGAAAAAACTGAACAGTGGTGGTGTTTTTTTTTGCAGGGAGGAGGAGGTTTCTAACCCCAACTCCAAGGGGCCTTGGTGGCACTGTGGTTTAGGGGTTGAGCTCCTAACTGTAAAGTCAGTGGTTCAAATCCACTGGCCCTTCTTTCAGGAGAAAGATGAGACTGTCTGCTCTTGTAACGATTGAATCTCAGAAACCCTACATAGGCTGTTATGAGTCAAAATCGACTCAATGCAGTGGGTTTTAACCCCAGCTCCTTGCTGTGTGACCCAGGCAGGTTGCTTCTTTAGGACCCTGTCTCTTCCCCTGTAAAAAGAAGCAATTTCTATTTTATGTGCAAATGATGCATATAAGATTGCATGGTGTTGTGCACATGAACTTCAAAACCAAACCTATTGTGTAGAGTCCAATTCTGACCCTGAGTAATCTTATGGTAGAATTGCCCAAAAGGTTTCCAAGGCATGGAATAAATCTTCATGGAAGCCGACAGCCACCGCTTTCTCCTACAGAAAGGTTGAGGGGGTTCCAACTACTAATCTTCGGGCTGCCAGCTGAGTGCTTAGCCACTGTGCCATTAGGGCTTGCTGAAAGCGTTGGTTGTTACTATTTCAGACAAGAAGAAAGGAGGCAAAACATCCATGATCATTTCCCTTTATGAAAGTGGTTCTTTATTCAGAGGACAGAAAATAATACTATCATTTGGGCCGCTACTCCAGTTTTGTCCAAAATAATTTATTTACCAGCCTTACAAAAAATACACTGACAAGAGAAAAATAAAGTCCTGCAAAGCAGGCAAGTCTATTCTTCCTTCTGGGGCTCCCCTGCGACCCTGCCAGAGAGGGGGGAGTTGGATGTGTGGTCCCCGAAGCCCAGGAAGTACAAGGAGAAGAGTCTGGAAGGATACGGGGCTGTCCTGAGTCCTCCTCGCCTTGGGAGCCGGCCCAGCGGGGGGGCACTGAGGCACTTGTGGGCAAAGGCTGGAACCCTCACCCCTTGGCAGTGGTAAGGGGTGTGTCCTTCTTGGGGAGACAAGCTGGGGATACAGGGGGCCTCGGGGGCTGGTCAGGGAGGAGCCACCAGCTTAGTCGGTCTCTGAGGTGAGGCTCCTAGGTCGTGGCTGAGGGGGGACAGCTGAGGGAGAGGTGACCCTACTTACAGCCTCAGGGGCCCCCCTTTCCTCTGTGGCTGCCCCCACGTCCCCCTGCATAGGAATGCTCGAAGAGCCGGGGCTAGGGGAAGCTGGTCCAGGGGAGGCTGATGAAAGCCGGCTCTGGCGCCGGGCTGGCTGGGGGGGCATTGGGGGCAGTGGGGGTGGTACTGTGGGGGCCCGGAGGGTGCTGTTAACTGCCCGACGGGGCAGAGCCCGGGGGGTGCCAGGGCTGCCAGGACCAGGGGGTACGGGTGGGGCTGGAGGGGAGGAGCGAGTGCTAGAGACTTGAGGGGGCAGCATGGTGGGCCGGGCCGGCGCTGGGCGCTTGACTGTGGAAAAAGGAAAGGGGGAGGTTGAGCGCTCAGTCCTCCTGTGGTAAATCCCCCAGGCTCCCTCCCAACTCTGCTCCCCTGTGTCTGCCCTTCTTCCTGCAGTGGCTGGAGCCTCCTCACTCAGGTTTCTCTTCATGTCCCTTCACCTCTCAGAGGTCTCCCCCTGCCTAGTTACAGCAGAGACCTCCTGCACCCTGGTCTCTCCGTCACGATTTCCAGTTGTGGTTTGTTCACAGGACTTTTTAGCCCCTGACACGACACTAGCTCGCCCACTTGAATTCTACTTGATGACTGTCTTGGGTCTCAGGCTAGAACGTCAGCTCGGTGAGGTGGCAGTGCCAGGGCTGGGGGGATGCTGGCGCAGGGGAGCCCAGGTGTGTGAACTGAACACAAGACTGCAGCTTTCCCTCAAGCTATGGCACTTGGGTCCTGCTCACTGCTCTCAGAAGCCCACCAGAGCTCCCTGACCCAGCCCTTACACAGAGAAGGATAGGGTGAGACTGGCAGTGTGGACTTTGGTCCCAGTTCTGCCTCGGCCCACTGTGCGATCTGCGCTGAGTCACTTGTCCCCTGGGGCCTCAGTTTCCTCATCAGTAAGACAAGGTGGAAACCTTGACCTCCCAGTCCTCCCAAGGTGGTGACAGCCCTTGGAGCACTTGAAGTGTATGCTCAGGTGAAGGAATGCCCACCTTGCCCCGTCTCAGGAAGTGTTTCCGGTGGAGCCTGCTTAGCTCCTGCTGGCGCAGCGGCCCCTGCAACTGCTCTGGCGACTCGAAGTCTATGATCTACACCCAGGCCGGAAACGCCAGTGCCTCCAAGGAACAGGTAAAGACTGGCTCCCTGAACTCTTGGCCTTCTCACCTGTCAGACTTTGGAGCAAGCCGACAGGCGAGTGCAGCAGAAGTGCTGAGAAGGCACTAGGCTTCTTGTCCCCGCCACCTCCTCGCCTTCATTGCTCTTTGAAGGTCCCATCCTCCCTTTCACTGTGAGATTGCTGGGTTTGCTGAGGACCAGATGCATGCTCCTAACATTTGCAACGGTTACCATTTATTGAGCATTTACTATGTGCTAGGATCCCTGGTGTGGCACTATAGGGTGAGCACTGGACCATCAGGTTGGCAGTTCAAATTCAACAGCCGCTCCTCAGAAACCCTATACAGGATCACTATGAATTCGAACTGACTCAATGGCACTTAACAACTACAAGGCATGAGCCAAGTCCTCTCCTTGCATCTGTTTAATTCTCCAGATAGCCCTCCTTGTTGTTGTTAAGTGGTGTCGAGCTGGTTCCAACTCACAGCGACCCTGTGTAAGGTCTCCAAGGAGGAGCGGATGGATGGATTTAAACTGCTGACCAGTGGTGCACAGTCTAGTGCTGATCCACCAACACCCCACCAGGCGTCCAGACAGCCCTGCAAGTGAAGTGCCATTATTGCTGTCAGTCCACAGTGGAGGACACTGAGGACAGGGCCACACAACCAGAAAGACAGAGGCAGTGCCAACATCTGAATCCATAACCGCATCGACTGCTGGGACTGCCTGCCTCCTCTCCTTGACCACCGTGTCCCCCAGCCCCTCCCACAGCCAACTCACCCTTCCGAGTCACATCCTCTGCTGGGGCAGCTGCCTCTGGGGGGCTCCTGATGACCTTGGGGGAGGCTGGTCTCGGAGGGGCCTCAGACTCTGTCCTGCTCAGGGAAGGGGAAGGTCAGGTAAGGTAAGGCCTTACTATCTCCAGGACCTGTTTGCCATTGTCCTGTGACTGTGTGGGACGTGTCCCCAGACCTGGCCCTCTGGAAAGACATTTTGAGAATGAACAGGGTTCGTGTCCACTGAGCCCTTGAGAACAGTGTTCAGGATCCTCTGAGGACCAGGAGAGCGAACGCCTACTCAGATTCAGCCGTCATGGGGTCTGGGAGCCAGAGAGGGATGAGAAGCAGAGGGGTCCACATTCTTGTCTCACTTCGTGCAGGTCTCTGCTCAGTAGCCAACTGCTTAGGGAGGCCCTGCCTGACCCCACAGTGAAGCGGTTTTCGTCTTCTCCGCTAGCTGACTATACAGCTGGACTTTTATCAGTGTGTTTGTTTCTCATCTATGTCTCCCACCCTCTGGAAGGCAACTTCTCAGGGCAGCATTGATCTGTCTAGCTTGTGTGAGGAAGTTCATGGTTTGTAGTAGAGTGAACACCACCTGTGGTATGGAGGCTATATGATCTAAGTAAGCCAGAGGATCAAACCCAAGACTAGCCTCAAATAAGAATCTCCTTATTTCTCCAAATCCCAGGGCCTAAAACCATGCCTGGTACACAGTAGGTGCTCAGTAACTGGTCTTTCAACCTCTGAGGGAATAGGGCAGAGACCGGAAGGAATATCACCTGAGTCTCCACTCCACCGGGAAACCTGGCCATTGGGATAAATATACCATTAATCACATTTCCCCCAAAGCAGGTGGAAGTACTGAGAGATGATGCCTTGGGCTGGGGGGGGTCTATGGGTCATTTATGTCCCCCAGTTCTCACCTTTCTTTGGTAGCCACTGAAACTGGGGTTGGGGTTGGGGCTGGGGCTGGAGTTGGAGCCAGAACTGGAGTAGTGGTCGGGGTGGGCACAGCTGTGGTTGGAAGCTCCTCCGAGGCCGGCCTGTTTCCACCCTTGTCCTGGAGGGCGAGGTTCGAGAACAGGCCTGACATGTTGAAGTTGATGTCTAGAGACAAAAAGGAGCAAGTCTTAACCTTCAGAGCCTTCAGCGGCCTCTCACTTAAGCCAGTACCAGGGCCGCATTCCCTGTCCCCTAAAATGATTCTGACGTTAGCTTGCCTTCCCACTCCTACACGAGCCTTCAACAATCTCACCAAGTAGCTGGCCGCACGCCCATTTTACTGATGAAAAAGTAAGGCTCAGAGTGGAGAAACAATTTCCTGAAGACTCAGGGTGAGTTGGTGGAGGGCATGGGAGTGGGTAGAGGCAGGGCATGCTGGGATCATTCACCAAACCACGAGCGCTACCTTCAGGGAAGAGGGTGTCCGCATTCTGGATCAGAGCCTCGACCACGCCCACCACCTGGATCGAAGACACCGAGGCCGCATCCAGCTGAGCCTGGTCCCTGGGCCAAAACGGGAAAGAAAGCAAGTCACCCATTCAACACACTATAGCGAACCCCAGTTCTCTGTCTGGCTCTGTGCTGGACACAGGACGAAAGGAAGAATCCCAAAGACTCCTTGTTCTCAAAAAGCCCAGACCACTGGTCGACAGCAGATGTGTTGCTCACACGCTTCATCTCCCCCTTTGTTCTCCATGACAGACATCACTAGTCAATCACAGCTGTCTTCTCAAGTTCTCAGCTCTAGGCAATCCCTACCAATCAGCTGTACTCAGCACATGAGACCAAGTATTTCTGCCAACCATGGCCAAGCGAACAGAAATAACCCTTTATGCCTCACAGCACTCTCTAGCTTATAAAATATTTCCTGATCCATTACCCCATCTAATCATCAAAGCAAACAAAGTGAGGTCCAGTAAGTGACTCCCTTAGGCACTTCTCTGGAAGGTGGAATGGCGTGCTAGAACCAGATTTTGAGGTTCCCAGGTTTTCAAATATCCTGTGAAGCCATTACTGAGAATTCCTATCTCCAAAGCCCTGTGGGGTCCTCACACAGCCCAAAGAATAGAAGCTGCTGGAAACACTGAGGCCCAAAGCAACAACTGGCAGCAGGAGGTTAGGGTGAGCGCTGTCTCTCTTCTCTGCCCCTTTCCTCCAGCCTGTGGTCCCTCACCCTTCTTTCTCCGGCGGCCATAGCAGGTTGGGCCCCAGGACAATGGCGATGTTGCTGGGTGTCATCTTGTTTACCTCCTGCTCCTCAGCCAGCCGGGCCAAGAACTTCATCAAGTACCTGGAGGATGGGTGGTAGGTTTGGGTCAGGGTCACAGCATCTTGGGTCACAATCACCTCACCCATAAAAGCCCCAGCGGTGTGAGAATTTCCCAGCCTAGGGCTTCTGGAGGGGGAACTGCTCTAAAATACTTAATAGTTAGCCCAGCTGAGTGCCAACTATGTGCCAGGCACTGAGCTGAGAATCCTCCTAGGCACCGTAGGGGGCAGGGACGCTTCCATCTGTAGCTTCCAGGTGTAAATGCTGAGGCACAGAGAGGCTAACCGCCTGCCAGGCCACAGGGGCAGAGGTGAGGCTTGGAGCCTGGCATTCTGGTTTGGAAGACTCAAGGAAAGTGTTTATTTCGTGGTCCGGTAGAAAACATATGACTAGTACATTAAAGGTGTGTTTTCAGAAACGGTCCTCAGGACAAAGCAAAAGGAAGGATTTGAATAAAGAGTGAGTCCATTTCAATCAGGTATTTCAGAAAGTTGTAGTATAAAGTCAGGGCGGGCGTTTGAGGCGCCCTGCCCTGCCACCTGTCTTACCAAGGGACAAATAAGCTCCAAGAGGTACTGAGGTCTACCCAGGACACGCAGCATGGGGTGGCAGGGCCAGGACTCAAACCCAGGGCCTCAGGCCCTGTTGGGCTTTGGCCTCAGAGGAGAAAAAGGGGGTGCAGTGGGAGATGACTGGGCTCACCTGAGGTTGCTGAGGTTTTCTGGGGGCAAGCGACTGCACACTTCTTGGAGAGCTTCCAACCGGGCCACCGGCTCCTTCAGGCTGAGGAGGGGGAGCGAACTGGTGAACCAAGCCCAGGGCTACATCCCTCCAGCCTCCTTTCCATCTTCCCCAGGCCTCACACCCTCACCTGGCTGCCCTCATCCAATCGTCATAGAGGTTAAAGGTCATCAGGGGTTCTGGCAGCTCCCGTAGATAGGACTTAAGGGCACCTGATGGGGAGAAAGAGCAGGAGATCAGAGACAATTCCCCAGTCCCCCAACCCACACCTGGTCTTCGGCTCTCTCCACCTGGAAGGAACTTTCAGCCCTTGTTTATACTACAGTGTCTACGTCTGATCATTTTCTTGGGCTAGAGTCCCCTCTGAGTAAACGATGAAGGCTAGCACTCTTGTACCCAGAAAGCTGTATGCACCCAGTTTTAAAGTAATGCCGGGGGTTTATTATGGGCCCCACGTGAAACAGGAGCACTTAGTCGCAGTGTCTTGTCAGCAGACCACCAGGGTTGGTTCCAGTCAGTGGTGGGGCAGGCCCCTTGCCCCAGGGTCCCTTGGAGCAGTTACCTGCGACAGCGTGGTGATCAGAGCAGAATTCCTCTAGGCTGCCAGGGTCCAAGGCCATTGTCTGCTTGAGGCGCTTCAGCACGGAGGCCCCAGGGGCCAGGCGGAAGAGGCCCTGGTGGGAGAGGGAGCAGGTGAGGGCCACAGAGGGGCACTCGGGCTGCGAGGCCCTGGCTTGCTCATGGTCTGGGCTAAGTTCCTGGGCCTCAGTGTCCCCACCTAGCCTGCTGGGCAGAGCTTTCTGTGGCTCTTCAGTTTTTAAGCTCTGGGAATCTGAGCAAAGAGCAGGCTGGGAAATCTGGGAGGAACTGGGGGAAACAAAGAGTCCAGAGAAGCCTGAGTCAGTCTGTTTTCAGCTTCCTAAGAGTCCAGTGGTTGAGCTGCTAACTGAAAGGTCAGCAGTTTGAACCCACCAGCCACTATGCCAGAGAAAGATGAGACCATGTGTTTCCATAAAGATGTCCCGTCTCGGAAACCCAATGGAGCAGTTCCGCCCTGTCCTAGTCACTATGAGTGGGCATCGACTTAAAGACAGTGGTGACTACTACCCTCAGGATAGTACCAAGGGCTACTGTACTTGCTGTCAACCTAAAGGTTGGTGGTTTGAGCCCACCCAGAAGTACCTTGGAAGAAAGGCCTGGTGATCTTCGGAACAACCAGCCACTGAAACCCTGTGGAGCTCAGTTCTACTCTGACACACGTGGGATCCCCAGGAGTCAGTATCTACTTGACAGCAACAGGCCTGGTGTTTGGTTTAAGGCCTGTAACCGAGTGAATTGTGTCCCCATAAATTATAGGTCATAAATCCTAATCCCTGTTAGGATTAAATCCCATTTGGGGATGAGCTGTCTTTTAATATGAATGAGGCTGCATTAGTGTAGGGTGTGTCCTAAACCAATCTCTTTTGAGACAGAAGAGGTTAAACAAGCGAGTGAGTGAGCAGAGATGGGGGAACACAGATTAACACATGAAGACCACCAAGGGGCCAAAGAATGGAAGCTGAGATGCCAAGCCCTTCCCCAGAGCGAAAAGTCTGTCCCTAGAGCCAAGTCTGAACTCAGACTTCTAATCTCCTAAACTGTGAGAAGGACTCCAGGTGTAGCGCTGCAGGATCAGCACTGCACTGCGAACCATAAGGTCAGCGGTTCAAACCCACCAGCTCCTCCTCGGAAACACTATACAGGGTTGCTATGAATCGGAAACGACTCGATGGCACTTCACAACAGCAACAAACTGAGAAAATAAATCTCTGTTTGCCACCCCTTTGTGGCATTTCTGTGCTAACAGCACAAGAGAACTCAGAGAGGGCCTATCCTCAGGAGAGGCGTGGATGGTTTAACAACTTGGGGGCACCAGTAGGTTGCAGCGCTTGTTCTCTGGAGACACTGGTTCGGACGTCACCTTCTCACGCCACCTTCTCACGCAGCTGAACACATTTACCTTTTGACCTCTGTCTCACCCTTGTAAAATGAAGCCAATGAAAGCTCGCCCGAAGGGCACTGGGATAATTAAATAGAACAGGTAATGCCAAGGGCACAGAGCACAGTGCTGTTAAGAGTTGATCCGAACGGAATCACAGCGACCCCAGGTGTGTCCGAACGGCTCTGGGTTTTCAGTGGCTGTGATCTTTGGGAATCAGATTGCCAGACCTTTCTTCCAAGGTGCCTCTAGGAGGATTTGAACCACCCACCTCTTGGTTAGCAGCTGAGCGCATAACCATCTGCCTCAATCAGGGACTAAGCGCGTAGTTAAGTGGTGTTGAGTCGGTTTTGACTCATAGTGACTCTGTTTAGGGTTTCTGTGGAGTGACTGGCGGTCTAAGCTGCCAGCCTTGTGATCAGCAGTCCAGTGCTTATCAGCAGGACTCCCATTATGAGGGTGGTGGTTACATGCCGTGGAGTTGGAAACGACTCATAAGGACCCTGTACAGGGTTTCCGAGGCTATAAATCTTTACAGGAGCAGAAAGCTTCATCTCTCTCCCGTGGAACAGCTGGTAGTTTCGAACTGCTGACCTTAAGGTTCGCAGCCCAATTCATAACCACTACACTATCAGAGATCCTTCCTATTATGAGGGAGGTAGTGCCAACTCAGCAGTGGGCTGCCAGGCCTTCTCCCAGGTCCTGCGCTGGAATAGCAGAGTGACAGGCACCGGGACAGGCTAGTGTGGGGGAGAACAAGGATAGAATGAGAGCCGCAGGCCTGCCCGCCTGCCCCAGGGGACCCACCTCTTCCTTCATGCCCTCAGACAGCAGCATCATGACACAGGCCTCGATGGGCAGGGCAATCTCTCTGCCCAGCTCCTGCAGGTGCGTTCCCAACGACACCCCATACACCCTGGAGAAGGGGGCGGCCGTCATCGAGGGGGAGGGGTCTGCAGGGATGAGACACATCAGCGGCCCAGGCTCCTCCCACCCCTGGGCAGTCAGGGGCAACCCCCACACATCTTCTAGGGTTACTGTTTCCCACCCTACCATTCCATCCATTCACTTCCCTGTGTCTGTCCCCATCCACCTCCCTTCTACTTCCTATCAAGTCTCCAGCTCCAGCCCTGCCCGCTTCTTTCCATCCTCATACACCGGCCAGAGCCATCTTGCCATCCAAATCCAGTCCTCCCTTGCTCAGAATTGCTCATGACTCCCCAGTGCCCTGAGCAGCTAGAATTGGCCCGGTTGTGCCCATACCCATTTGGCGATGGTTCTCCCTCAGCTCAGTCAGGGCTGTGTCCAACGAGTTTAGGGACTTGCGGTGGTAATCAGCTTGAATCTCCAGGATCTGTGGAAAGCAGGGGATACCCCCAAGGAGCTGAGCTTTCTCCCCAAGAGCCCAGGAGAGCAGACCCTCCGTCCCAGCACCTCCCAGGGCATCTCAGTGTCCATCCTGAGCTCCAGGTGGCTGTGGTCTTAGACTCACTTGGATGAAATAATTGGCATAGGTGTCTTCCTTGGTGGCAAAGTGATACAGGTCGGCCAAGTACTCATCCTGGGCAGAGAGAAGAGGGCTAGAGTGGCAGCAGGTTGCAGTCCCAGAGAGGAAATGAGGCTCAGAGGGGTTGGTAACATGTCCAAGGTACTTGGAGCAGGCCACAGGAACCCCCTGGAACTTTCTTGAGCACTTTTATGGCCTTTAGCTCTCACCCAGGTCCACACTGTCCACACTTCACTCATTTCCTCAGTAAAGACCATTCATTCATACGACAAACACACCAAGGCTCTGCTGGACAGACCAAGTTCTTTCTGCAGTGTAGACAGATTACGGCCAACTACATGAACCCTAAAGTCTGTGGCTTGGATTCAAATTCTGGCTCTGCCGTTTCCTATTGGGAAGGTCATGTTTTCCCTGAGCTTCAGTTTCTTCACCTGTGAAATAGAGACAGTTCCCACCCTGCCACCAACCCCCCACAGCCAGGGAATCCCCAGTGCCTCACCTTGCACTGCTCCACTTTCCTCTTCAGTTCTTCCTCCTCCTCCTTCAACATTTCCACCTTGTTGGCTGAGGTGTTGTGGCTGTAACTGCCCGGCATGTTACCTAGGGCTTGACCACCGCTTGAGTTCTTGGCTACCTGACTGAGCCTGGAAACAGTTCCAAGGTGGGGTGGTTACTGTCCGTGCTGCACGTCCAGAGCCCAGTGTCCCCTAGCTGCCCCACACACACCTGAGTGCACAGATTCTGGGATTTGTAGACACACAGTCCCACTGCCTGAGCCCAGTTTGGGCCATGATTGGCCTTGGGGCGCCCCCTGGTGGCTGCCTTAGTGACCACAGCCACCCAGCTCAAGAGTGGAGGATGGGGCCCTCTGGACATACAGAAGTGTGGGATAGTTTATGGTTACCCTGGGTGTTGGGGCTACCCTAGCACCAGCTGGCACAGCACATGTACAGAGGCACCCTGGCACATACCCTTAGCACATGTTCTCATGGATGGGATGTTTGAAGGAAGGCTGACCCAAGAGTGGACCCCACCTACCTGCTCTTGAGGGTGTTCCAATCAGACACCAATTTCTGCAGGCTTTTCTTGTGCTTGAGGATGGCTGGCAGCTCTTCCTGGGGGCGGGGGTAGGCATGGGGGAGGGCTCAGTGGCTAGGGGAGGCTGGGGCTAGAGGGGGGGGAGTTAGGGGCGGGGGGGGGTGGGGGGGGGCTCAGTGGCTAGGGGAGGCTGGTGCTAGAGGCGGGGGAGTTAGGGGTGAGGGCGGGAGTGGGGGGGGTCACCTCACTCAGCCTGCTGAGTGGCTGTAGGACATCCTTCTCCAGGGCCATCTCAAACTCGGCCACGATGCAGGCCAGCTGATTCTGAATGGCACAACTCATCTCCAAGGCCTTCCTGTGGGACACAGCATGGTAGAGCCTGCCCCCGCGGCAGCACTCCCTGGCACCCCTCCCTATTACCTCCTGCCCCTCCTGTCTCTGCTGTGTCTTCACTGAGGCACCCTCTCTGGCCTGGTCACCCTCCAGACAGGATGCACTTGCTGATCTGGACCCCTCCTAGCCCAGAGCTCATCTTGGTATCCCCGGGGGGATGCCAGGCCCCACCCTGGAGCTTACCCCATGCTAGAGTCAGGGTCCAGCTCCTTGAAGCTCTCGGCCATCGTGGCGGACAGAGCCATGAGGGGCAGTTTCTTCTGCAGGGAGGGAGGGGGGCAGGGCTGACGTGAACGGGAGCATGTGTGCACACGCCTGTTCAGCCTCTCTACCCTGCTGAGCAGCCACTTGGAAACAGCCCCACCAGATGGGCTGGGGAGAAGTGAACCCAGGAGGCCCACAGTCACAGCAGAGGGGGAGAGGAAACAGCATGGTGGACTGCCTATCTTTTGGTTAGTGTATCACTCAGGAACTCCCTTCCTCCCCTTGAGAAGCCACTTAGTGGGCAGGGAGGAATGAGCAAGCCCCATCCCAGAGGGGAGACTAAGATCAGAGAGGTCAGAGAGCTGGCCTAAGGTCACACAGCAGAGGGAGAATGTAAGAACTAGCCTTGGGCATTTGTGGCTGACTTGACTACTGCTGAGCTCCAAATCCTCCTTGGTCCTCCACAAACGCCCCCTAATCCTTAGATTCCCTCCCCAGTGCTCCAGCCAAAGTGAACTGTTGATTCATCCTAACGCATGCTCTACACCGACCCACCTAGAGCATCAGCTTTGGGATCAGAGAGCCCAGGGTTCACATTCTAACTTTGATATTTGCTAGCTGCATGACCTTGGGTAAGTAACTCGAACTCTCTAAGCCTGTTTCCTCATCTTTAAAACAGGTCTGGCTAATTAAGGTAGCTCTCTCCTTGGGCGGCTGCCAGAATTTCGAACATGTCTTCGCATCAGTCTAGCTAGCAGTGATGAGTCTGTTAATTGATAATGGTGACCATCATTTAAAACTCGGCTCAAATGTCACTTCCTCCAGGAAGCCCAGCAGCTGCCCCAACTGATAGAGTCAGCCCTGGGGACTGATTGGACAGAGAAATCCAGGTGCTGCCAATGGCCTTTCCTTGTGCAGAGGGAGGTGGGGTCCAGAAGGGACTGAGAGGAGAGATTGCCCCAGGGAGCCTCCCAGACCTCACCTCGATTCCCTCTTGGAGAGAGGGGACACGGCTTACCCCAGTGGTGAGGTGCAGCACCCAGGTCCCCTTCCTGGGCACCCCCACTCACCACCCGTTTGTCCATGTCTGCCCCGCTCTGGCCCTGCAGACAAGCCTGCAGCCGTTTGTGGACATTGTGGGCGGCTCGTTTGGCTGGCTCCAGCCGCTGCTCCACCTGGGAGAGGGTGCAGGGAGCTATGAATCAGAAGAGGTGTGGCCCCCTACTCCAACTATTGATGGTGGTACTGCTGAGTCGAGTACAATTGCCCCATAGCAATTTCTAAACAGGAGTCCTGGCGTGATAAGCACTGGACTGCTAACCACAAGGTCAGTAGTTCAAACCCATCAGCCGCTCTTTGGAAACCTATACAGGACAGCTGCTGAGCTCTAAATCCTCCTTGCTATTAGTCTGAACTGACTAAACAACAATCTTTGAGAACAGCTTGCCAGATCTTTCTCCCATGGAGCCACTACGTAGGTTCAAACTGCCAACCTTTTGGTCATCAGTTGGGCACTTAACCAGGACTCTTTCCACCTTCTGTCTATCCTTTTCCAAAGCAGGAATCACCATTCCCTTCCCTCCTCCTGGGGACCCAGGGCCAACAGCCTGGGGAGTGACTCCACCCAGGTCCCCAACAGCCCTCCCCGCTGTTCTGACAGCTGCTCAGGCCTGCCCTCCTGTGTGCTGCCCGCCCGCCAGCCCAGGCATGTACCTGCAGCAGGTCCTCACCCAGGAACTCGGCAGTCTCCGGGGTGCTGTGGGGGGAGACAGAGCCTCTGTGGGGTTGGCCTAGGTTAGGGGTCCTCTGCCTCCACCATGCCCCCCTCGGCAGGGCTCCTGGACCCCAGTTGCTTCCAGTGACTTTCCCAGGTAGGGCCCCACCCTGGGTGGCCCGTTTGCCTCATCCCAGTCAGAGCACATTCCACAGGGCCGGAATAGGATTCAAGGCTCTTTCCTCCTCCGCCCAGGGCTGGGCCCTGAGAAAGGGTTACTGAAACTGAAGAGGGGTCAGGGGAGCCACCCCAGGGCCCAGCTTGGGGCAGAGGGATGCAGCTTCTCACTTCAGCCCATCCCCCAAATCCTCAGCTCAGCTGCCAAGGCTAACCCCAAGAACGGGAAGTGCAGGAGCTGGGATTGCTGGCTTGTCAGCCTCAGGGGCCCACTTGGACACCTGGGGGCACTTAGGCCCAGAGCAAGGCGGCCTGATTGGCGGTCTCAAGATGGTGTGAGTCTAGGAGCATTGAGGTCTCTGGACACCCGGTCCCCTCCTGAGCCCTGAGAAGGGGAACTCCCATGGCTGGGGGGTGGAAAGAGAAGGCAGGCCCTCAAAGGTTCCCCGAACTTCCGGCCTGCGCTCCCTGGCTCAGGGGCTGAGGGGGAATGCAGGAGAGCTGGGGGTGGTTCCACCTGCGTCTTGGAAAAGCAGAAGCTAGATAGAGAAGCAAGAGGCCTCTGAGCTAGGGGTGGAGGTGGGGGGACGCACCGGGGCAGGCCAGCCCCGCCTCCCAACAGCCCAGGACCGTTCTCCTCCCCTCCCCCAGGCGCTGAGCCCTAATCTCTGCTGCCCCCTCCCCCATTCGGCCACCAGCGATGGTTAACTGTCCCCATTGACCGGAGGGGACAAGTGAGGCCAGGAGCATGGTTCACTCAGAGATTGATGGAGGAGGAAAGACACAGCGTCTTGGTCAGAGTGTTTTCCCCGCCTGCGCCCCTTCCGATCAGAAATGGGGGCGCCTCTTCTCCCAAAGTCCCACGCCTGGCCCCCAAAGCTGCCTGGGAGGTGGCGGGGGTGGTGGTGCGGGGGAGAAGAGCAAGGTTCTGATGGGTCAGAAGGTGGCTGTCCAGATGTCCCAGCTTCCCCACCTCCGGCGTCCTCTCACCCTCTACCCGGCTCAGGTCCCGCGGAGTGGGGGCGCTAGCACTCACCGCCCCAGGGTGCCCGTCTGGGCCAGCTGCCGCATGCGATGCAACTGTCTCTTCATCATCTTGGGACCGGGCTGGGGGCTGGGGGCTGGGGGTCGGGGTGGGGGTCGAGGCACAGCAGCCCCCGGCCCAGCTTGCCTCTGTCCGCAGCGCCACTCGGCCCGGATGGGTGGGCGGCGCGCTGCGCTTCCTGGGCCGCCGCCGCCGCAGCAGCGCTGTCCCCTCCCCGCGCCGCCCGCGACTCCGCCCCCGGCCCCCAGGTCACTCCTCTCGCCAAGTTTGTTTGCTCCCTTTCCCCCTTCTTCCGGGTCCCCCACGACCCTGCTGCTTCACCCCGTAAGTGTCTGTCCAGTCGGCCACTTGGCCGACCGCAGGTTGTGTGTCCGTCTCCTCCTTCCGCCCCGCCCCCCACGGTGGCGGGAAGCAGGTAAACCACTTCTGCCACTGCGCCCGTGGGGCCTCCCAGGTTCCTGCCCCTGCCTGCCTGTAGGTCCTGGGTATAAATAACCCTTAAACCCCCTAAAGGCGAAAGAGGGTTCCGTACTTAGCAGGGACCCATTTGGGCCTGACCAGGGATGCTGGCTGGACTCCATCACCCCTGTGACCCTGTGAGTGATTGCCTGGACACTCCTGGGACCAACCTGGGCTGTGTGTCTTTTGCATAGGTCTCCACTCAGAACAGAGTTAGGCATACAGTAGGTATTCCGTGAATGCTAGTTGATACCAGATTACAGTCTTTGGATCTCCTTTCCCTGCCCCCCTGTCCCCCGCCCCCCCCCCCCCATCGGAAGGCCCAGGGTGGAGTGTAGGGTGTGGAGTCCACCAAGCGCATTGCACTTGGCTTTGTTATACTATTAAATCAGTTCAGAAGCATTATGTGAGTGCCTGTTGTGTGTGTTTCCCATCCACCTGATTCCTGTGCACTTCTCCAGGGCAGGGCCTCTGACCTTCCCCAAGAGGGACAGCCAGGTGCAGTGGCCTGGACCCTAGGAACACATGGGTGTCCCCCTCTTCCCAGCCCAGACTGCACAAGGCCTGGTCTTGTTGGGTTCCTCAGCTGGTCTGAAGGTCCCTGAGGGCAAACCCTGGCTCACTCCTCTGTCCCTCCTAGGCTTGTCATGGCCTGAATCAGGATTCTGGGTGTGTGTGTGTGTTACTCCATGTGGTCTGTAGCAGCGCCACTGCTGTGGAAACAACCAGAGCCTCATCAGTGGGCCCCCCGGGTTCTTAGCATCTCACCTGGGCTCCAGGCTCCTTGCCAGCCTCATCCAGAGCCTGGGCAGGAAAGAGTCCAATTCTTCAGGACTGGCCTGGGTGGAGCTGCTTGGCCCTGCCTTTTCTCACTTTAGATGTTGAATCAGAAGGTTGGAAGCCCTGTAGGTTGGCTGTTCCTTGAAGGATGTTGTAATCAGAGACTTGGACTCAGAGGTCTCTGTGAATGTTGGTAGAGTTGTTATGTGCTGTGGAGTCAGTTCCGACTCCTAGTGACCCTGTACAGGGTTTCTGGGGTTGTAAATCTTTATGGGAGCAGAAAGCCTCATCTTTCTCCCAAGGAACACTGGTAGTTTCGAACTGCTGACCTTGAGGTTCCCAGCCTGATTCATAACCACTATACTACCAGAGCTCCTGGTAGAGTAGCTCCTTAGAATTGCAGCCACAGAAGGGGGACCTCAAAGGTCAGCAGTCACCTCCTCCCAGGGTGCTTCCCAGTCACTAGTCTTCATCACTATACACTGAGCTGGTCGGTAGACTGGGGCGGGTTCGCTCCGGTTAAGGCTGAGTCCTTTGGGCCCTAACCTGGTGCCCTACCCACAGGTTTCCATCAACAGCTGAGCTGAATGGGAAGTGAAGACATTCTTATCTTCAAGCCAAAGACACAAGAACAGAGCCTAAGGGCATGGATGGAGCCAGTGACCTGGCGCTTCTCTCACTAAGCTGGGTGACCCTGGGCAAGACCTCCAAGTCCTCTGTCCAACAGGATTAACAACAGTAACCCCCTGCAGTTGGGAGTCTTTGGGTGGGGCAAACCATGAATGTGTGCTCTGCTACTAATCAGGTTGGCGGTTCAAGTCCACTCAGGAGCTCCTTAAGAAAGATCTGGTGATTTATCTACTTCCAACAAATGAGTTACGGAAAGTGCCGTGGGGTAGTTTCATTCACTCTGACACGCACAAGGTCAGGATGAGTTGGAACTGACTCACTAGCAACTGGCTTACCTGTGAGGATTAAATGAGTTAGTATGTGTAAGATGCTGATCTCAATATAACCTTCCATTACCCCTGCTCTTGTCTCGCTTGTCCAACTGCCTTGGGACAAAGGGACTTCTGTATTGTACTTCTGTGCATTCTCTAGTGAGCTTGGCATCCTTGTCTTTATTTTATAAAAAGGTGAACAGATGGAGGCTTCTGGGCCCAAGGTCCCTAGCAGGTTAAGCTCTCAGAAAGCAGATCTAGCTAGCTGGCTCTGAAGCCCACACTTGCTCTCCTGCTGCACCTAAATGGCCCAGGAAAGCCAGAAATGCTGGTCCCTGCTTCCCCCATACTTCCAGCCCCTTGAGGGGCCAGTAGCCTTGGAAGAGGTTTATTTGACACCTGTGACAGTCTGTTGGAGAACCTTGAACAGGATGTGGGCAGGGAGCCCAAGGACTGTCTGAGGCCCTATTCTCAGGGGTCAGAGCTACGGATAGGCAAGCTGTCCCATTGGAGATGCTTTGATGATTGTGGCCATGTTGGAGTTGCCTGCCTAGTGGAGGCTTCCACCCAGAACACTGGCCATGTGGTAGGATTTCTGGGCCCATGCCCCCTTCCCAAGCCCAAATGCCCTCCCAGAAAACCATGGGTGGGGCCGAGCAGGGGCCTCCACTGCAGTCCAGACAGCTTTGGGGGAGTGTGGCCCCTTGGCCCTGGCCCCACAGGAATGCAGAGCTGCAGCCTCTAGTGTGTGGCCTCAGAACCAGCCTGCTTCCCATTCTCACACACTGGTTTTAGAACAGGGGCGAGCTGCAATGTGCCAGACAGGGCTGATGATTTGCCTCATTTTCTGCTTGGTGGGGTCCGTGCAGAGTGGGAAGAGCAGGCCCCGCTCAAGCATGCAGTGGCCTTGCAGTGTGTCTCTTGGCTGCTGCTGAACAGATGACCAGTGTGCTGTGGTTGCCAAAAATAAATTAACTGCTACCTCATGCTGTCCTGAGAAGTGGAAGTGTGTCTTTGACATCTGGGAAGTCCCCCGGATCTTGGGGTGCAGGGGGGGCACCCTTCAAAAAACAGAGCACTTTACCCAGGCACCCCATGCCAACTGAGGAGGCCAGAGGCACTAGGACTCCTTGCTGGTTCCATACTGGCCAGGATGTACACAGCATCCTCTAGGCAGTGGAGGCCCAGAGCCCCCCTCACCCCCAGGCTCTCTTGGCACCTGGGGGTCTCTCTCTCCTTGCACCGATTTTCTCCAGGCCACCATAAGCTGAGCACTGGCTGAGGTTGGCACAAAGGCTACATAAGCACACAGAGAAGAGAGGCAGTGGGAGGTTGGACATGGAACAAGGTGGATGGTCCACTAGATGAACATCCTCCATCCCCCTAAAGCTGATCATCTTTGTGCATAGGCACTCCTCAGGCCTTGAAGGCACTTTACTTACTCACAGCAAGCTGGTGACTGAGCTACAACTGGACCCGCAACTCCCCCTGGGGCAGGGCTCAGCTCCCCTGGGCCCACCTGCAACTGCTTGTCCCAGGTGGGTGTTAACAGGCGGCCTGATTTTGTTACAGGGCATGTGCCACATTCACAGGTGAATCTCAAGTGGGGAGGGGTCCACAACTGGCCCCTGGCAGGCTATGGCTGAAGTAGCAGCCTTGCTCACCCTCTTGCCTGCCCCCTGCTCTCCCAGGGTGGGCCTGCCCAGAGGCAGTGGCTCCATGTGGCTGTGGGTCAGGGCCGCTGGCTGGCTAGTCCAGCTTATCCCAGCAGTGCCCCAGAGAGGGAGGGGTTCGGGGACCTCATTCAGATTGGGAAACACTTGCTGAGACTGAGTCAACAGTTTCTTAAATTCAGGGCTTCCCAGGGCCCGTCAAGAGCTCATTTTCTGGGCCTGAGAAATTGTGGGCAGCCTCTCATCTCTGGCAGGGGTGCCTGCTCTGCAGAGCACGGCGTCCTGTCCTTCCACACTGCTGCCCCATCATGGCTCCGGGACCCGGCCCCTCCTGGAACCAGCTCCTGGCTTCCTGGGAAATGGAGAAGCCGGGGCGTGGACCCCTGGGGGTGGGGGTAGCTTCACAGTTGTGTTTTGAGGGCTGAGCTCAGCAGGAGGAAGTCGCAAGTGGCGGGGGGCCTCCCCTGGACTCAGCAGAAGCTGGGGCTCCTGGCAGCCAGGCCACCAGTTACTTCCAGCAGGACGGCTGGGGTCCAGCACAGCCCAGCATCTGGTGACTCAGCCCCCCTCACAGGGCCTGCAGGGAGGGAGGTCTGTGGGGCTGCCTGAGGACCTGAGTCTCTCCTGTTCCCGCTCTGAAGGGCTTTGAGAGAAACCAGGCCAGGAAAAAGGACGTTTATTTCCATAAATACTCCAGCTCTCACTCACACACGGACCTTACTTCTGACCATGATGGATGGATGGACAGACAGACGTCCACAGGAAGCCCCAGCAGGGCTGTAGATGAAGGAGACTGCGAGCCCCAGGGCTGGACCCCTCCAGCCATAGCCTCCATAGTCCTGCAGGAGGCTGACAACAGGGGCCTGGTAGGTAGACAGAGCCCCAGCAGGAATGGACACGCCCAGCTCGGCCCGAGACTGTGACCACAGGGCCCACTTGGAAACGAAAGAGTCAAACCACACACCAGAGAAGTGCAAACAGTTGGGGGTGCAAGTGCCACCCCCACATTCACCGGGTTCCTGTGGAGGAAGCCTGGGCTGTCCCGGCTCCAGCATGGCCCCGTGTTATGGCTGGGCCTTCCCATAAGGCATAAGAGACAGGAGGGGAGGGCCCTCCCCGGGGGGATTGGGCTGGGCCTGAGGTCCCAGCTTCCCAGACAGCCCCACTTCCTTCCCAGGACCCTGAGTCCTCCCAGAGCTGTGCAGCCCCTCCGTGCTCCAGGTCCCCACTGTGTGGAGGACCCCCACGCTGCAAACCCCAGCCCAGCCTCCTTCAGGTTTGGCTCAGCAGGGGAGGGGCGGGCAGGTGAAGTCATTGGGGGCCACTGAGGTGAGGGGAGAAGCACCAGGCCCTGGGGCGTGTGGCCATGGGGACAAAGGACATCCAAGGCTGCAAGGCCAAGCCCTCTGCCCCCCTCCTCGCCCCCCTTTGCTCTAGAGGCTCCCCCAGGTCTCGGGTGGGGGAAACTGGTCCACGTCCCCCATCTCGGTGTAGGTCTGGTCGCCCATGGTGAAGGTGAGCTTGTAGCGGAGGCGGGCCTTCTCCTGGCACAGAAGGCAAAGAGCAGGGTCAGAGGTCAGAGCAGGCGAGGCCCTGCCTTCTGAGCCCTCCCTGCCAGAGTGAGCGCTCACCTTCTGAGGGTTGGCAAGGAGCAGGACCTGGGTGATGGCTGTGGGGTGGACGATGGGATTAAACGCTGGCAGCTCTGTGCCTGAGGGTGGCTGCAGCTTGACTTTCATGACCTGTGGGCAGTGGGGGAAGGCAGAGTGTACAGGAGGCTGCCTTCCTTCCTGAGATCCCAGAGAGGCTGGCTCCCTGTCCCTGCCCCAGGACAGCTGACTCCCTGGGTCACCTTGGGGACCGCTGACTGAAAGACGATGCTGCGGATGGGTTGGGGGGCGGTGCTCAGCATGGACACGACCACCACCAGTACGTCGGCGCGCCCTGGCAGCGGGTCTCGGGCGAAGTGGAACAGGACTCGGAAGCCATGCTGGTCATACACGGTCACAGGTAAGATACTGCCTGTGGGGGGGAGAGGAGGTGCTGAGGGGTCCACAGCAAGCACCCACTGCTCGCTCTGCTGGACCACTGGGCCTAGATCCTGGCCTCAGACTTGGGGCAGTGTAGCTGGGGGACAGACTAGGCCAAGAAGACAGGTCCCCCACTGCCATGGCTGCTTCGGGATGGCCAGAGTGATGGGGAAAGCTGGGGTGAGGCCTGGGCCACATGCTTACTGGGTGGCTCTGATGTCACATGTGCCCGAGGGCCTGGGAAGGTCGCTTCCCATCTGTTTAGGGCCTGCTGCTGGTGAGGCGTGCAGCCTTGCACCTGAACTCAGGCTCAGCTTCATAGTCGGGGTGGCCGGCCCCAGCCTTCCTGGGAGCTGGCCACAAGCAGTCAGGCAGAGAGGGATACTGAGTGCTGGCAAGGGGCAGGGCTTTTACTAGTGGCAGAGCTGGGAGGAAGACCCTACCGCCCACTGCCTTGTCCCGCTTGAGCTCCCAATACTCACTGGGCTTTATGGACTCCAGGGGCACAGTGACGCTGGCCAGCGAGAGCTCCGACGGCGGGGTGGGCTGTTGTAGGGGCCCAGGTGGCTCTGGGGACACAGTGTGGAGGAGGCTGGTGGCTCTGGGGCTGGAGGGGCCGCAGCTGCTCTTGTTCTGCAGGTCCCGCAGAGTGAGCCGGGGGGCTGGAGACTGCTTCTCCCTTGTTGGGAGACGGTGCGTTAAGGAGGGGTTCTTCCTGCCCAAGGCGGGCTCTGCCTGACAGTAGCCTCAGGAGTGGGCAGCTCATTGTCGTCACTTTTCCAAGCCCACTTTTACTCCACCCCCCAGCTGGCTGCCCAGTGTTGCCAGCCCTGGGGCTTCGGTCTGCTTTGTGATGGGCACACCCCTGCCCCCCATGAGCCTGAAGCGGGTTCTCCCGGAAGGGCCTGGGCAGACAGGCTCTAGCTCCTGTCCTCACCACCGCACTTGCTGGGACTCGGGGGGCAGTGACTGCTGCAGGAGGGTCTTCCCCAGGAGGTCCAGGTCATCCAGAGCACTGCTGGCTGGCAGAGGGGGCTGGACATCTGTGCTGGGGCTGGGGCCCAGGGGCTGCTCAGTACCATCATCGGATGACTGTGGGACACAGAGGATGTGGGTTGCTGGAGTGTGCCGACAAGGTGTCACATAGCTCCACCGGGGACGCGGGGGCAGGGAGGGGGATCACACGCTGCTCCTGTCCATGATGCCGGTGCCAGCATGGCATCCCCAGGGGCTGGGCCTAGTTGGCAGCTCTACCTCTACTGCAGGGCCTGTCCCATCCCAGGGAGTCACAGGTGGAAGTGAGGTAAGGAATGCCCGCCTTCTTCCACCGGCCCCCAGGTCCCCTGCACAGAGCCCAATATGGTTTCCTTCAGGCTTTGTGTCCCTGGACAGGGGCAAGTCACACAGCTTGGTGGCCTCCTACCTGGAAGCTGTTCCAACCGGCACCGTCCAAGCCTGGACCTGAAGGGGGTGTGGGGTCACTTAGACCTGAGGGGAAACAGGGTAAAGATGAGGAAGCTGACCTCACTCCAGGAGCACAGGCTGAGTCCGCCTCCCATCCCTTCCCCACACTTCCAGCAGGAGGCAGCAGCTGAGCAGAAATAGAAACAGATGCTCACAGCCCACCCCAGGCTCACGTTCAGTTTCTCCTCCTCTGTAGGGCCATTCAGCACAACCCAGTACGGATGTGGGAGCTGGCAGTCTGTGTGACCGAGCGTCAGTGTCCCCTCTGGACCCCATCAACCCTGACATACGCCAAAGACGGCCAACCTGAGTGAGCAGCCCACTAGCTGACAGGGCAGGTGGGAGCGGGCTGCCCTGCCTGCCTGTCCCGCAGCGCCAACTGAATCAATCACCCCAGATTAGACCCAGGCCAGACCACTGATCCTGTTTCCAGAAAACAAGAGGGGTCCCAACTGAAGTGCTAGCTGACAGGCAGGGCTGGGGCTGTAGCATTTACCTCCATGAGTGTCTCTGTAAGACCAGGGAGAGATGAGATGTACCAGCCAATATGGCTCACTCCTCCTTTTACATTTAGCCTCATTTAACCCCAAACATGTCAAAGGTGGGGGTTGGGGTTGTGTGCCATGGAGTCAGTTCCAACTCCTAGTGACCGATCCTATTAGGGTTTCTGAGGCTGTAAATCTTTAAGGGAGCAGAAAGCCTCATCTTTCTCCCATGGAACAGCTGGTAGTTTCGAACTGCTGACCCCGAGGTTAGTAGTCTGACTTGTAACCACTATGGTGCCATAGCTCCTTATGTCAAAGGCAGGGGGAGGTACCTACCACAGGCAAGTGGGCAGAGGCCAGAGCTGATCAGCAGCTCCCAGGCCAGGGGACGGGAGGGGAGGAGAGGACTCGGTACTGAGAGGTCACTGAGTTCAAGGTGAGGGCAGGACTGGGATGGACACTGGATACAGTGGTGTAACATGGGGAGCACAAGAACTGGACACGTTAGACTGCTGTTCCAGTTTCGTTCCCAATACAGCCACCACTAACTCAGGCTAATAAAATAAAATGGCCACAGAAGTATGAACAATGTCAGCTTCCCTAATAAAGGCAGAAAGCATACAAATTAAATGTAGAAAACAAAATTCAGGATGGGGTTCTCATGTCCCTTTTTGGGATGAGGAAATGGAGGCTGAGAGAGGGTACGTCACCTGTCCAAGTCACATGGCTCTGAAATGGCGGAGTTCAGACTTGAACACAGCTCTGTCATTTAGCTGTGTGACCTTAGGCTGTTGACCTGACCTCTCTGTGCCTCATCCCCCCACATGCAAAATGGAGACAAGGATGGCATCTGTCTCAGGGTTGTAAGTACTAGAGAGATCTGATGAGGTGTCTGGACACTTTGTTTGGCAGAAAATCAGTCCAGGAGGGGATGTCACATGCTAGGGCCACCCGGCTGGGCAGGGGCGGTGCTTAGTGCAGACGCTCCTATCCCCTCCACTGGGTGACACAACCCCATGGACCCTGGGCCAATCCCAGGCAACCAAGGAGGCTCTGAGCTGTCTCCCACATTCTTCTGGCCCAGGAGCTGCTTCATTCCCCCGGCTTTGGCTTTCCCCACACTATGTGCAAGGTACTAATGGTCCCTGTCCCTACACTCTCCTTGCCTTTGAGAAGACACCTGAAGGAAACTGGAAGTGTAAAGCACACCTTGCTTCTCTTGGAAGTGGCTTTGCTCCAGGCCCCCTGGGGGCAGTCCAGCTACTACTCTTATCAACTAGCTGTCCAGGTAGAGAGCTGCCCCTAGGCCAGGCTTGGCTGTGGAAGATGAGCCAAGGGTGTCTGTCTATCTGTCAGGAGAGGCCCTTGACAGCCTGTGGTTAGACCCTCTGGCCCAGGCTATTTGTTTTCTCACCTATAACTCAAGAGTGTACCCCACTCTGAGCCCTTCTCACCCTGAAAAAGCTGGAGTCACCATCAGAGCAGCACAGTGGCTCCGGGGGGCTTCGGAGTCCACGGGCTATTTGAAACCCTGGCGCCCGCCCCTTGGTGACTTTGGCCAGGTCACTCTGCCTCTTTCAGCCTTGACTTCTCCATCTGTACAAGGGGCTACAACAGCCCAATCTGGGGGGTCAGGAGGATTACGTCTGATACAGGCCCAGTGGATAAACACCAATGACAACTGCTGCTGTGGAGTCAAACCAACTCTCCGTTAGGTCGACCCCACCTGTCAGAGAAGGCTGTGACCCTTCAAGAGCAGGTCGCCAGGTCTTTCTCTGGGTGAGCTTGAACTGCCCACCTTCCTCTTAGTAATCGAGCACATCACCATTGGTGGCACTCAGGGACTCCCAGGCCCAGGCAGCACTCCTCCGATGCTGGGCAGCCCCGACCGGGGAGCCCTGTACCCCCACGCTCCTTGAGTTCTTGTGGCTGCTTTGTTAAGTCAAAAGTGGTTCAGAGGAATGCACTCTGCTTCCTGGTTCCAAGTTACAATTTCCCCACATAGCCTTCTAGACTCCTCGGACAGCCCTAGGACCCTGCGGTTTCCCTCCCTCCAGTGGTGGGAGTTGGAATCACCTGGGACTCCCCGCTTCTCCCCTGGAGTGAGCCTCTCTCCTGCTGAACTCACAGCAGGCCTGCGGGGCTCAGCTCTGACCGCAGAGAGCAAGAGGCAAGCACGGCCCTACTCTCCTAGAGCTTCCACTGTTCCTTCTCTTAGGGCAGGAACTTGAACTTGTGGGCAGCCCTACCCTGGCCACCCAGTGTTGACAGGGGCAGAACACAAGCTGCAAGTATGCAGAGGGGAGCATCCCGGGCCTGCTCCTTCCTCACCCAGAGACATGAGCTCGTCGTCAAGCAGGGAAACCGAGGCACTGGGCCGATCAGGGCTGGTCTGGCTGCCAGGGCGGCTGGGCACAGCTGGGTAGGTGGTGCTGGCATGAGGGAGATCCAGGCCGGAGAGGTCCAACAGGGCTGAGCTGCTTCCTGGGGTGGGAGAGGAGAGTCCGGCAGGTCCTGGCTGTGCCCTCCCTCCCCACCTGGCCTCCTGTGTCCTATCTGGGCCTGGCCTTGGAGGCTGTTCATCAGGCCTTTCTGTCAGCTCAACGTGGCCGACCACTCCATCCTTCCAGAGCTGGCTACATCTGCTGCGTGCTGTCCCGGCCTGTGGTCCCAGGAGAGCCCAACCTGTACAGACCCTCCCTCCGCCTCCTGAGACTTCAACACATGCCTGACTTGTCCAGCGCCAGACAGACTGGCCTTGCTCCCCTTCCCAGCTGCAAGCTTGGCACAGATGTCCCTGGGCTTCCTCCCCAGGCCCACCTGGCCTCAAAGTTCTCTTGCCACCCCCTCACCTGGGATGGGGCCAGTGGTAGCATCACCGTTGACCTCCTCGCCCTGTACCAGATGCTTGTACAGGTTGATCACTCTGGTGAGGTTGTCATTGGCCTGCAAAATCTCCGCTAGAAAATGCAGGAAGGAAGAGCCAGACTGAGGAGCCGCTAGGGTGGGCATGGCTTTGAGCACCCCACACTCATCCCAGCCTGGTATGGGAGGGCCAGGGACCCTCCAGATCATCCACTTACTCTGGCCCCTGGGGTCTGGCCCTGCTACCTGCCTTCTCTCCTAACTCACTGACTCTGGAACCACAGAGGTGGTGTCTGATCTCCTGCCATTAGATTAGAAACTCCAGGAGGACAGGGCCTTGTCTCCTCTCATCACTGCTAGCACCCTGACATCAGATCAGCCTCCTCTGGGGCAGGGACCAAGAACAAGCATATGGGGTGGCTGAGTGGAGCCCACAGGTTGCCCAAGAGGACCCTGGCTGACACAGTGACAAAGAAGAAGGCCTGGGACGTGGCCCTGGTGGAGTCCTCTGGCTCTGCCCGTGGCTTCTAGCTCCTCCTTAGGCGAGGTCCCTGGTCCAGCCCTGGTTGCCCTATGCTGCTCCTCCCAGGTTCAGCTGTCAGGGACAGGTCTCCCGCCCACCCAGGGTGCAGGAGTGAAGGGAGGGGCAGCCCTTCCCCTGGGGACTCAGAGGGTGAGTGTAGAGAAGGGCACCCCCTGGTGGTGGCTGCCTCCTACTGCGGATATTTGAGTTTGTGGGGAGGGGAAAGGTGTGAAGGCCTCACCTAAGGCCTCGTCGTTGTCCTCTGTGTCACTGGCCAGTCGGAAGAGTGTGGGCCGCATCCGTTCGCAGCGCTGGTACAGTTCCTGGGGGCAGGGGGACGGGGGTGAGTTAGGGCCGTGGGACAGCCAAGCAGTAGCCCTGGAATGGGGGAGGCAGCGCACCTTCATGAGGTCCTCGCTGCTGCCCGACGCCGAGCCGCCCTGGCTGTGGTTCATGACCATCTCTGTCAGCAGCTTCACGTTGTTGTTCACCTCCTCAATGGCGTTCACTCGCTTTGAGATCTTCTCCATCCGCTTCTGGTCCTGCGAGACATTGGCAAATAGGCCCTGATCCAGCCCTACTAACACTGCTCTGCAGAGGCGGGGGATGGGATGCTGGGGTCCCAATGGAAGTCCATCACTCTGGTCCAAGAACCCCTTGGCCAACCCTGTGTTCTGTGCTGCACCCGGCTAGGTCTAGACCTGGATTACCAATGACTCCCATCCTCCGGGTGGCTGTCCACGAGAAGACTGACATACAGAGTGAAAAAAGACCTGGATGATCATCGAGCCCAGCCCCCCGGTGGCTGTCAGTGCTGGTGACTAGGGAGTGCTGGTGGTCGGGAAAGGTCGCTGGAGGACGGGACCAGCTTTCTACTGCTTCGTTTACTTGGCGCATCCTTCCCTTGCTGGGCTTGTGTTGTGCTGGGATGTGGCATTTGCCAAAGGGAACAGTCGTTTAGTCCTAGGAGACAACCTGGAACTTCCGTCTTCAGTGGCAGAAACATTCTCAGGATAGCAGTCCGCTGGGAGAACTGAGGGGGAGACCCTGGGTACAACTGTCCAGAGACCAGCTCAGCCCTGTGAGCAGCTCACTGACTAGACGCATCAAGCAGGCACTGCTTGGCCTACACAATGGTGCCAGATGTGTGAAGTGCTTGCTCTTCTTCACAAACTGAGAGCGTTCATGCAAAAATCCCGATTTCTAGATGATCTTCATAAAAAAAATACCTGAAGATCTGGCCCTACTGGGCCGGAGCTCTTTTGACATTATCAACTTGACAGCTTGTCCCCCTAGCCCCAAGGCTGTTTTTGTCTCCTTTTTACTTCCTTGTTGTTAACCCCAAGCCTCAAGAACATCAGGTTTGAATGTTTTGGCTTCCTGTCTATTATTACTTCTGGCCTGCAAGCTTTTAAATATGTGCAAACCTTTTGATGATTCACTCTTATGTATTAAAAAAAGGTGTCAGCAACTGTCCACAACATACTTATAAATTTACCAATTAGACATGCACTGCGTTGCCTATCTTGCTCTGCGTGTGAATACACAGTATGTTTATAGTATGGGAATGTGATGCTCCATATGATAAGCACTAGACTACCAACTACAAGGCACTCTGCTGGAGAAACATGAAGCTTTCTGCTCCTGCAAAAATTTAAAAAGCCTCAGAAACTCTATACAGGATCACTGAGTCAGAACTGACTCGCAGGAACTTAATGACAATATATAGTATATGTCTTGTTATCACTGGCATTATGTATTGGCATTGTGTGTGAGTGGGCTTCAAAAAGTTCGTGGAACAAGTGAATGAAAAGATACGAGAATTTCCCCATAAACTTCTGGAAGCCCCCTTATATACCAAACAAAACAACACAGAAAAACCACACAGCCTATTTCCCTGTGTCAGTTACCGCTGAGGACATGTCAAAGCAGACCTGTGTGGCACCGTCCTCACTGGCTCTGATCTTTCGGGAGATCTGGCCAGATCTTCTTTTTGTTACACCTCTGGAAGGACCTCCCCCTTGGGGTTAGCAGCTGAGCGTACTGACCATTCATACTACCCACAGACTCCACGTTAAATACTTGTGGTTGTTGCTAGGTGTTGTAGACTCGATTCCGACTCACAGTGACCCAGTGTACAATACAACACAGCCCAGCACTGTCCAGTCCTGTGTCATCCTTATAGTCATTGCTGTCTGAGCCCACAGCCGCTGCCATCAAGTCAATTCATCTTGCTGGGGGTCTTCCTCTTTTCCACTGACCCTCTACTTTTTCAAGCACGCTGTCCTTCTCCAGGGAATGGCCCCTCCTGACATGTCCAAGATAATGAGAGACGAAGTCTTGCCATCCTCGCCTCTAAGAATTATTCTAGCTGTAGACGGTTTGCTCATTTTTCTGGCAGCCTAGGTATTTTTAATATTCTTCACCAACATTCAATATAGTAAGAACTAATTTGCGTCTAGCTTTTTTAGCTGCAAGACAGAGCTTATGGTAATTTGCCTAGCATGCCCTTGATTGAACTCTAGGGACTAAGCCCGTAAAGGCGGCAGGTATCCGGCTGGGGCCTGGTGTTCCTGGGAGAGTACCAGCTCTGAGGTCAGTGGGACGGGGGCAAAAGGAAACTGTGCTCAGGGAGAGGTGGGGCCTCCCCAGCTAGCGGCCCTCCGCCTTTAGCTCCCTCCGGGGCTGCTGGGCAGGACTCAGGGGCCATTTTTACAGAAGAGGGAGTCAGCCTCCCAGAAGCCCACCAGGGCAGAAGCTGGGGCTGCTGGGAAATTCCTCCTTCCACACAGTGGTCCCTGGTCCAGCCCGTGGGGGGTCCCTGAGACTCAGTCAGCTTCTCTTTCATAGGACACCCTTCAGCGGGGTTGCATCCCCCAGCTCACTGCTTTGGTGGTCCAACTCAATACCCCCCACCCCACGGCCTCCCTGGGCTCTGGGCTCGGCAGTCACCTCCTGCACCATCTCTTTGATCAGCTTGTTGGCTGCTCGGAGGTCCTCAGGGTGTGAGCTCTTCAGTAGACGGGCCAGCATCTACGGAGACAGTAGGCAGAAATGTGAGGGCAGCATCAGGCAGGGTCAGGAGCAGAGTCCCTGGGTAATGGTGGAATTGACTGACTCGATAGGGTGGCTTTAAGGACAAGGGGCCTCAATTGACGGGCTCATCACATCATGCTCGACAGAGAGCCTTTCTGGAAGGGCAGCCAGGGTCCTAATGGCTGCTCCCTGTGGGGCCGGGGAGAGTAGCTTCCCCTCTGCACCTTCTATCCTCTGACACCGCTCAGTGGCCTAGCACGGACGCAGGCTTCTTTAACAGAGAACTACAAAGTAATGGCTGAGAGTTCGAGATGTCGCCACGGCACTACTATAGCTCCTTAGACAAAGATAGGAAGACAAGTAAACTCCTGGCCAACGTATGAAAAGCCCTCAAGCTAGCACCTGGACGTCTGTGGGATGTACGGGCAGTGCTCGATGAGCTGCCCTCCCTGAGGGCTGGGCTCAACATGGGGCTGGGACCACGCCTCCAAAGTGGGGCTGGTGTCTCCATCTCCTTCTCATGGTCTCACCTTGGATTTCTCCTCATCTTCAAAGATCACATTCTTGGGCCGTGGAGGAGGAAGAGGGAAGGTGACATCGTCTGGAAGCTTGGGGTCAGCCTTCACAATCCCTGGAAAGACAGGTGGCAAGAAGGTTGGCCATGTGGCCTAGGCCCAGAGCAGTGGGGAGGGGTGGGACCAACAGGCGTGAGCGGGAAGGTGGAAGGGAGGGCAGGCTTTCTCCAGCATGCCAGCTCTTGACCTTAGTGCACCAGGGCCTGTCCCTGACCCACCAGGTCAAATTGCTGTTGGGGGAGAGCGCTTGGGCACCTGACCTAAACCCAGTTTCCCTCCACTCAAGCTAGTCCCAGGCAGGCCCAGCAGCCCCCTGGGTCACCACCTCACCCTGTTTCTTCAGCATCTGATAGGCCTCTGCGATCTTCGCCTCCTCGGGCAGGCCGACCGTCCAGCTGTAGAGCAGCTCCAAGACCTTGTTCTTCACCTTCTCTGACGTCCGAGAGCCCAGGTACTTCAGGGAGGAAGGGACAGGGCAGCTGGTGACATGGCTCATCCCCACTGCCATCAGCCCTACCCCAGGTCAGGCCTGGCTGCCTCAGGCTCCCCGGGGATCCCTCTAACCCGCAGTGCCTGACACCCCAACAACACTCCTGTCCCAGCTCTGGCCCTTGCTTGCTGTGTCAGCCTGGGTTATCTGTCAGATGGGACTGAGGAGAGGACAGTGAGCTGACAGGAGGACGCATGCAAAGAAGGCTGTGACCTCAGGGATGAGGAGTATGGGGAAGGAGGGCCTGGACTTGCTTGGTCCTGGGCGCCACCCACACGAGCTTTCAGTGACAAACTGGATAGGAGGAACCAACTCTCCCGAGTCCCCTCCTGAGAGAATACGGGCCAGTGGGTCACAGAGCTGCCCTGGTCAGGTGACCGCTCTGAGCAGAGGAGGAGGAGGGGAGGCGCCTTTGGGGAGGACCTCTTAGGCCAAAGACCAGAGCCAGGGGAGTGGGCGATCTGCTTCATCGTAAGGTGTGGGGCCACAGCAGTCAATGATACAGGTGGTCTCTCCGGTAGAGGGGGAGCAGGGAGACTCTGCTTGTCGCCCAGACTGGGCGCGTTGTGGCCTGCTATCTGCACACCCTGTATCCAGCCCCACAGCTCTGGGCACTGAGTTGTGTGAGGGAACTACCAGTCCCAGGACGTAGCGAGCAGGCTGGAGGCTGGGGCTGGGAGCACCCACCTTGGGAGACACGACCTTGATGAGCTCGTTGAGGAAGCGGAACTTGCCCACCTCATCATGGAACCTCTTGCCACAGCTCTTCATGCAGGTTTCCAGCACCTGAGGTAGGGGCCGGGGTTAGGGGGACAAGACAGACCGACCTGGGAGATGAGGGGACCGGAGGTCCACAGAGGCCTGAGACAGTCACCTCCCCTGGGGGCTGGGCAATGCCCAACCTGAAGCATTATCATGGCCGTTTCAGGGTTGGACCACATCCGAATTCCATTTAAGAGCTACGTGCTTATAATTTTTCTTTAATTTTAAAAAAAGAAAACTTAAATAGGCCACATCCACCTATCCTTTGTGGAATCTTATAACTATTAGGCACTTGAGGGGAATACACCGAATGTGTTAACACAAACTAGCAATTATTAAAAGAAGAACTGTGGGTTCACCACTGCCTAGCACAGTTTGAAAGCCCGCATGGTATGGGGTCCACAAGCACTGCCCCTCATTCTGCTAGGACCCAGTTCCACTGTCCTGGGCCCTTGTCTGTAGCCCATGGATGGACTGGGAACCCTGAAAGGCACCAGGGAGCTTGAAAAATTTGCAGATTCCTGGGCCACGCTTAGGATGCTCTGATTCAGGAATGGGGTGGGTAGGGTGGGACATGTAACAAGCCCACTGGGGATCAGATGCACAGCTAGAATGAGGACCAGGGGGATTCTTCCCATGAGAGGTCCAACTGAGCAGGGTCTGGGGCAGGGGGACAGCCCACTTCTTGTCATGAGCCTCCTCACCCTGTCACAACTCAAGAAGAGCCTGGTAGGGCCCCGCCAGCCCCTGTCCCTCCTCCTCACCGTCAAGGCCTGGATGGCCTCCCACTCCTGCGGGGACTGGATCTTGTGCGCCAGCAGTCGGGTGGCAAGTGGAGGCCTGGGAGGGAGGAATGACAGAACCAGAGTTGACACCACCCCAGCAGTGCCCAGCCACCCAGGGGAGGGGCACTACCCACTGGACTTCAGTCCTCCAGGCTTCCGCAAGGCAGATGCAAAGGCCCAGCTCCCTCTCCAGACGGGATAGGGTGGGATGTGGTCAAGGAGCACAGCAGGGCAGGCCCAGGCAGGGAGCACCTGCTAAAGGCGTGAGCTCAGCCCCCTGGCCCGCGTTCCTAAGAGCTGACAGGCCACCCTGAGCAAATCATCCCAGGAGCTGGCCTATGTAAAGTACCTGCACTAGGATCGCAGGAAAGCTCATTAACATCCTGCGACAGGCAGATGACAGACACTGCTCACAACCATGCAAAGAACACAGAAGTTCTCACAGCTGGGCCAACAGATAATATGACAAACGGAGAAAAGACTAACATTGTCAAGGGTTTCATTTTAGTTGGATCCACGATCAATGCCCATGTCATCAAAAAAAATCAAAGCAAGAAATCAAACTGCTGCCAAAGACCTCTTAAGTGTGTTCAAAGTAAAAATACCACTTGGAGGACTAATGTATGCCTGACCTAGGCAATCATATTTCCAATCACCTCATATGCATTAAAAAGCTCGACAGTGAATAATGAAAACATTGAAGATTTCAAGCTTCTAAATTGTGGTGTTAGTCCATAAGCCACGGACTGCCAGGAGAAGGAAGACATCTGTGTTGGAGGGAGTGCTGCAAAGGTGGTCAGACTGGACATGCTCTCAGGAGGGACCTCATGCTTGCTAAGTAAAGGTCAGGGAAGCAGAGGAAGCCCCTCAGTGAGGGGACTGACACAGCGGCTCCATCACAGCACGGGTTATGAGGATGGCACATGACCCTGTTCTAGACAGGGTCACTCTGAGTCAAGATGGACTAGACAGCACCTACACAATGACAACATGACATTGCTCACAGGAAAGACAAGTACAGGGACAGTCACAACCCTCAGGAGCCCGTCTGGGAGCAGAGCGAGTTGGTGCACGAGAGATGGGCAGCTCGGCTTCCCTGGGAACTAAGGGGCAGCAGACAGACCTAGCCTGCCACATCACACACGGCCTGCCGCTACTGACGTCAGAGCTGACACGCCCTGAGCACCTATGTTGGGCCAGGCACCTCACAGGTATTTTCCTGCCTAACTTGTGAGAGCCCTTTGAGGCAGGAGCCCTCTCATCCCCACTTTACAGAGGAGAGACGGAGCCTCAGAGCCTTCAGGGACTCGCCCAAGGACACTCGGCTGCTATCCGGCCGATGTGTACTCATGGCTGCTCCAGCACCTCACAGGGTTTCTAGGGTGCAAGCTTTCACAGGCAGAGCTTCAGGCCTGTCTTTCAGGGCATCTTTGGGCAAGTTGGAAGTGACAACCTTGTGGCTAACAGTCACGTGCTGGAGTCAACTCAGCTACTAAACAAGCACACATACCGCCATCCAATGGGTTCCCACTGAGCAACTCTACACAGGGTTTCCGAGACTGCAAATCTCTATAGGGACAGCCAGCCTCATTTTGCTCCCTCAGAGGGGCGGACGCTGAGGTAAGTAGCCTAATGCACAGCATCGCCAGTGCCCTGTACTCAGGTGACGTCGCTGTCTTAGTGCCACTAAGTCAGTTCTGACTCTTAGCGACCCTGTATGAGGTTCCCAAGGAGCAGCTGGTGGGTTTGAACCACCAACCTTGTGGTTAGCAGTCCAGTGCTGATCCTCCAGCATCACACCAGGTAAGAGGGCTGGAATTCCAAGCCAAGCAGTCTGCCTCCAGAGCAGAGACATCATGCTACGCAGCCTCCCCACCTGGCACACCTGGACCGCTGGGGCTCGAAAGGAGGATTCCCAGTAGAGGAACTAGACTGGGTGAGCTGCAAAGCTGAGCTCCTGAACTTCAATGTCACCTGGGCAGCCTGAAGATGCGGGTCCACACCTGGGCACAGCCCACGCAGGTGCACTGTGACACGCTCTCCAGGTGAAGCCCACACAGGTCTGTCTCTTCCTAGCACGGGGCCTGCTGGCTCCCTCCCCAAGAAGCCCTGGCTGGGGGCGGGCTGGCCTGGGCTTGACTGAGCTCAGGAACGACATTGCCTCTCTAGGATCTTGGGGCAAACTGCTGCGCCTCTGAGTCTGTTTCTTCATGTGTAAATGGGTCAGCCAAGGTCCACATACATCACAGGGTGGCCCACATGACGTGCTCGGGGTAGTGCCCACTACGCTTATGAATCTGTGAGCACATTAAACTAGAAGCTGCGCCTCTGAGCCTGAGGCCGAGCCTACTGCAAACATGGCCATCTCTGTCAACTACGACAGCAAAAGTGGGGGTGCTGCGTACCCTTCCAAGTCCTCGTTGAGCTGCTCACAGAAGCCGTTGATGCTGGTCCAGTTCAGCTCCTTGTTCAGGGGGTTCGTGGCTCTGTCTGCAGGAAGCACAGGGTCAGTGTGGCGTGAAGGGACCCCTGCTTTCCCTACTCCCCACCCCGCAGAGCACGGATGTCACTGTAGTATGTTTGGTCACCAATGACGGAGCACATGAATGGCCTCCCCTAGACTTCCTGCTCTGAAGCTGGAGGTCTGAGCGCTGGACAGAACAGCACATGCCCATGGCTTCCCCTGCAGTTTGTCACCAGAGGGCCCCCCACCCCCGGTGGGAGTCTGTGTCCCTATCACCCCCCGCCTCGAAGCTCTCCCCTGAATGGTGCCTACCCGACTCACTCCTGAAAACCGTCCCATAATTCCCATGAGTCTATGCTCCAAAGAGAGCCAAAGGGAATAAGCCATAAAGAGGCACCCCCAAGCCTCCTGTGCACAGACCCTGCTCTGTCCCACCGTCTGTGCGAGGGCAGACCCGGCCAGGTGAGGGTGGAGCTGGAGGTTGTGGAGAGGTGGTCAAGCCCCAGCTCGGCATGCCCCTACGGCTTTACCAGGTTGAAAGAGTTTGGTCATGTAAAATCCGTATTTCACCCCAGCCGTGCAGTAGGGGAGGACCAAGGGTAATAAGTACCAGGGCTAATAAGCCATGGTCTTGCCTCTGGGAGCAGAGAGGCTGGAGTGGACCCCGGCGTGGCAGGGTCTCAACATGGTGACAGAAGGAGGCACAAAACAGACTCAGCCTGGGGCCCCAGGGGGGCTTCCTGGGAGAGGCAACTCTCAAGCAGGAGCTGGCAGGTCATCAGGCTGGGGATGGCAGGTCTACCAGCTCAGAGACTATGGGAGGAGAAGATGTGGGGAGAACTGAGTCCAGCGTTGGGTAAGGGTGAGGTGGTGAGCAGCATGGATTTTAATATCATACTGGGATCAGATAGCCCTCTCCCCTTGACCAAGCCTCAGGTGATCTCCTCTTCCAGGGAGCCTTTCCTAGGGTCTAGCTGTCACTGCTGGATCACATCTCTCTTCCTGAAGACCCCCAGACTTATTACACTGCATCCTGTGTTCCCAGAAAAACACATGAACAGATGAGGGGTCAGCTGTGGGCAGGCAGGGAGTCGGAATCCAGGAAGGGAAAGTAGCCAGGAAAGGGGAGACAGGGCTCCAGGAAAGGGAAGGTAAACAAGACAGAGAATCAGCCCTTCCACCCACCATTGGTTAAACAACAACCATCCTCCCTGAATTGTCTCCCCGACCGCACCGCTGTGGTGAAATATGGATTCTGCACGACTAAACTCGACCTGGTAAAGCCGTGGGAGCAGTCTGAGCTGCGTCTTGACCACCTCTCCACAGTCTCTCTCTAAGCTCCACTCTCGCCCAGTTGGTGGGACAGAGCAGGGTCTGTGTGCAGGAGGCTGGTGGTGCCTCTTCATTCAGGGGCTCTGTTCTATTCAGGGGGCTGGCGCCTGGGAGTCCTGTGTCAGGTCACCATTCACGAAAGTCATATTTATTCAGTTATGCATTGGGGTGCCAGGGATCCAACAGTTAGCTAGACAAACTGCTGCCCTCTGGGAACTAGAACCCAGCTACAGAAACCCTGACTAGTCAGATTAATGAACACAAACACAGAGCCCTGTACCTACTGTTGCAGACTGCAACAGAGAAAAGCAGAGCAAAGACAGGGTATATAGTGCGATGAATGCTCCCCAGAGAGCTTGCTAAGGCCTCAGAGATGAAGGCTCTGCCAGCTACCTGAGGGGCACCAGAAAAAAGCCCATCCAGGTAAGGAGGAGCCTTGACTCAGCCTTCCAACAGGGTCAGAGGCTGAGGACGAGGACAGCGGGGAAGGAAGAAGATGGAGCGGAAACGGCTCACTTGACACTGGCTAGGACTCTGGAAGAGGAAGTTCTTTAGAATGTCAAAGACACGTGAGTTCACAACTCACCAGAGGATAGAGAAGCTACTCTAGAGAGGGCCCCTAAAGCAAGAGCAGTGAGGAGGCGGAGCAGAAAACACCAGCATCATGGGACCTCAGCTCACTCCTCTGCATGTGGCTCAGGGCAAGGGCCAGGGCCAGAGATGTGGAGCTCCCTGACCCCCTCTTCCCTCTACCTTCCTTGGGAGACAGCAGGAAGAGCAGTCTAGGGGGTGGGGCAGCTAGTTTACAGGAGCAGGTGACACCACCCAGTCCCTCCACATTGGTGACAAAGCCATCATGTACCCAACCATCACAAGACTGTTTCCAAAGCTGCCAGGACACAAAAGGGGAAAGAGGAGGAAAATCTCTCAGCCTCAACCTATCAGGGTCTAGGAGCAGGCGGCCCAGCCTGCTGCCTCCTTCTCAGATCAGACCCTCTGGACTCACAGAAAATCCTTCTTGCTGCAAAACCCGAGGCTGTCTTGTGTCATCCAGCAGTCCAGTCCATCCTCACCTAGCCCCGCTAGTTGCTCCTGAGACATGGACACTTGTGTTCCTGAACATTCTCAGTGGACACTGAGTGTCCTCCTCCCCACTCCATTGGCCACAGAATCGGGAAGATCCCTGGGGACTGGTTCTGGGGCAACTGGCTTTAAAGGGGGCCAACCATGGTCCAAACCTCCCTGCATAGCTCCCTGCATCCATGGGGCTGAGCCAGGGGCTTCCCTGGGGTCCAAGACATGGACACAAAAGAAGGAACACACTTGGAAACCAGCTGTCACCAGCCCAGAGGTGTCAGCGAGCAGCTTCCAGGAGCAGAGCCCAGGACAGGGATGAGGGATTGCGGGGGTCAGGGGGCTCACATGGAGGGTTTGGGGCTCTGAACCTGAGTAGCATCGCGCTGTGTCTGAAGAGCAACAAGCAGAAGGGTGTGGGCCTTTAGAGGAACCTGGGCCAGAACCGGGAAAGGAGTGCGGGTAATGGGAAGAGCGGAGGGCAGTAGTGGCAAGGGTCCTCCCTTGTGCAGGGCTGCGGGGTTCCCACTGTGACCAGAGGTGGTGGGATCGGAGCGGGCCGGGAAAAGAGCAAATCTGAGGGTAGCTAACGAGTGGCCGGCAGATGGGAGAAGTCAAGGCACGCAGGGACAGAGTGGGGTGCCGGGCCCGACGCCACTGGCCGTCCCCTGCCCCGGCCTCAGACTTAGGGGGTCGCTCCACGGCGGACAGGGCTGGAGAGTGCGCCCTCTATTCTGAGACTTGTGGGCAAAAGCCGGGTGAAGATCTCGGAGCACTTAGCTAAGTATTTCCACTGGGGGTCGCGGCCCAGAATCAGATCAGGGTGGGCGGCGCCCTCTCCCACCCGGCCCACGGGGACACTTGGGGTCTTCCTACTCCCCAAAGTCGCGGGGTCGATTCGGGGCACTGCCCCTCCCGGGTCGGGGGCGGGGCGTGAGGAAGGGGCGCCAGTACCCCGCTCCCGCCGGTAAGGGGGCCTGCATGGAGTCCCCGGTTCCGGTTCCGGTCCGGCCTGCGCCCCGCCCGGACACTCACTGATTCGCGCCTCCAGAGTCTCCGGCTCCATCTCGGGCTCCATCCTCCACGGGCCCCCGGCCTCGGCACCGCCCCCCGCAACTCTCGCGGGGCCTTGTTGTCCCCGTCCTCCGTCGATTAAAGGGGCAACGTCCTCCCTGACGCGCGCCAACAACGCTCGGGACGGATCGGCACCATAGAGATGCACACGCGCGCCCAGAGTGTCACCCCTTCCTGCCCCTCCCCTAATCCGTGTCTAGTCGCGGGCGGGGCCTACAGCCGGTCTTCCAGTTCTCAGCTCAAGCAGGAGAGGAAGCGCTGGGAAGCGGGTGGGGCTGAGAGCGGCACCATGGAAACCCCACGGGATGGTTCTACTCGGTCTGCGTCACAGAGATTCTTGCGATGGCTTCCGGAAGAATGCTCAGTGGCCATCTTTTTCTGGGGCGCTGAGCTCACTTCCGGAACCCTGAACGGTACTTCCGCTCAGGTGAGAAAGTGGGCGGTTCTCTTAAAAGGGCAATGTTGTTGCGCGCCATCAAATCGGTTGTTATGTGCTGTGGAGTCGGTTCCGACTCATAACGACCCTGTACAGGGTTTCCGAGGCTGTAAAGCTTTATGAGAGCAGAAAGTCTCATCTTTTTCCCGCAGAACAGCTGGTAGTTTCAAACTGCTGACCCTGAGGTTAGCAGCCCGATTAGTAACCACACTGGTAACATATGGTAAGCTATGGGTCGGAACCGACTCAACGGCACTTAACAACAACAACAAGCTACCAGAGCTCCTTATCAAATCGGTTGCGACCCTGTATAGGGTTTACAAGGAGCAGCTGGTGAGGTTGAACTGACGTTCTGGCAGTTCAAACTGACCTTGTGGTTGAGTGATTATCCTAGGACGCGACACCAGGAGTCCCAAAAGGGCAATGATGTGCCTCAAAAACTGAAAATGATGACAGTTTTTATTATTATGCCCCCAACACTAAACACTTAAAAAAGCAAAACTTCCTTGTGAGTTGAGTGAGGATTTCCAGACAAGATCATCAGTTTTACATTCAGCAAATCATGCCCTTTGTTTCATCTCAAAGTTTGCAATCCTCTCTATGCAGAAACAGCCACTTCCTCCCTATAGTTCCCTTTTTCATTCCATCCACCTTCCCATTCTTTCTCAACGTTGTGTTGTTCTTACTTAAAGATTGCTCTTTTGATTTCGAATGATTGACCATTCCATGGTGAGCATACTCTATGCATATTTTATGCACCAAAAAATTTACTCCTCACAACAGTCCCATGAGCTAGGTAATTAATTTAGCTGCCTTTAGCAAGTAAGTCCTGATGTGGCGCTGTGGGCTAATGCGTCAGACTGTAAAGCTGTTTGAACTGCAAGATTGGTGGTTCAAGCTCACCAGCTGCTCCTTGGAAACCCTATACAGGGTCGCTATGGGTTGGAATCAACTAGACGGCACTTAACAACAACAACAACAACAAGCAAGAAAGTGTCAGACTCAGAGATCTGCCTGGAAAGTGGGACATGAGACAGGTTCTACTTGCTGGAGTTGCAGGTGCTGGAGTAAGGCCATGTCTCAGTTTTTTCCTTAGACCTTCCAGGAAGGAATCAAAAGCCACACATAAACTCTCCTCCAAGTTCTCAAGGGTGCCCATTTCCTATCTCTTTTTTCCTCCCCAACCTGATCCTTAAGAGCATTTCCAAAGGTGAAGTGGTTTTCCTGGGAAGGGTCTGAGACCAACATGGTTTACAGAGACCAACATGGGTTACAGCTACTTCACTGACAGCTCATCTTTTCTTGCGGTCACGGTAGCGTAGTGGTTACGATCGGGCTCTGAACCGCACCGTCAGCAGTTCGAAACTACCAGCTGCTCCACGGGAGAAAGATGAGGTGTTCTGCTCCCGTAAAGATTAACAGCCTTGGAAACCCTGTGCAGGGTCACTATTAGTCGGAACCGACTCCATGGCACATGACGACGACATCTTTTCTTGCACTGGAGGGAGGCCTGGCAAAGCAGAGTCATCTGGCACTGGGAAAGCTGGGATTTCTTCTTTTTCTGCACGCTCCCCTGGTGACCAATGGTGTGGCCAGCTCCCACCCTCATCTACCCACGTTGTGGATGCTACTCTCCGGGAGATCAGAGCCACTTGGTTGGGAACCAAGCCAGTGTGAGGTGGGGGGCCAGTTACATTGGTATGCTGCTTTGGGGCCTGGATTCACGTGGGCTCAGCTCCAGACCTACAAAACCCGCAGAGCCACCAGAGCAGCATTTAACCAGTTGCCCTGCCCCCAGCTTCCCTGAGGTCCCAACAGACACGGAAACCAGCTCCATCTAGGGCCCCCACAAGCTACTTCTGGATTGAGTGCCTGAACACAGATAGCACCTGGACAATAGGAAGTCCCATCTAGGGTCAGGAACTCTGCTGGCTCGTCCCTGCCACAGCCACCTCGAGAGCTCCTTGAATTGCAGGAGCCCAGAGATTTCTTCCCTCCAGGTCCAACAACTGCACAGTTTGTTTTTACAAATAAAACAACCCAACAATGCCCCAGAGACAACAGACAATTGCAGCTCATATGAAGAAACAAGAGCTTGAATGAATTAAACAAATGACCAAGATGCAGAAACAGAAGATGTTTCAGAGAGAGAGAAAAAGTAATGGAACTAATTGAAAAAGAATTCAAATGAATGTTAATTAGGTACCTTCAAAGGATCCACAGAAAGCAAAGAGAACACAACAAAAACTTTAGAATAATTTGGGAAAACAATACAAGAACAAACAAGCAAAGTAAATGGAAATGTTGAAACAGTACAAAACCTGCAATTAGAAATCCAGAAGATAAATACTAAGATCTTAGAAATGGACAATACATTGAAAGGGCAAATCTCTCAAGACTAGTATGCTCACCAGCCTCTCCTCAGAAACCCTTTACAGGGTCATTATGAATTGGAATTGAATCGACTAGTATGCTAGAATAACAATCAGAAAAAAGACTGAAAACATTTGAAGGAAGCCTAAGAGTTATGTGGGACACCATGAAGAGGTACAACTTACAACTGATTGGGATTCCACAACAGAAAGAAACAAACACAGAAAAAACTGCTGAAGAGTTGTAAGAAAACTTACATAGCATCATGAAAGACGAGAACATAAGCGTACAAGAAGCTGAACAAACCACAAACAGGATAGATCCCTAAAGAAAATCACCAAGACACAATCAAACTTTCCAAAATCAAAGACAAAGAAAGAATCCTGAAAGCAGCTTAGGAAAAATGAAAAGATACTTACAAAGGAGAACCAGTAAGACTTAGCTTTGATGTCTCTGCAGAAACCATGCAGGCAAGAAGGCAGTGGAATGACATATACAAAATTCTGAAAGAAAAAAAATAGTCAACTAAGAATTATATATCAAGCAAAACCGTCCCTCAAATATGACAATGAAATTAGGGCATTTCCTGATGAACAGAAATTAAAGGAATTCGTAATGACCAGACCAACTTTACAAAAAAATGCCGAAGAACCAAAAACATCAGACAACAACCTGAGATTACCATACATGACAATACCACCCAGAACTCAATCCTGATATAGACGCATTTAAAGTAAAACTAACCTACAAGACTGAAAACAAGGAACCAGAGATATCAATGAACAATGAAGTCAACTACAAAGTAAAAACAGGGAATTGTTTAGATACATAACTTCCAAATGGTAAGGAAGTCAGGTAGGTTTTGAGATAAAACAGATGGTATGTTGTTATTGTTAAGGGCCATAGAGTCGATTCCAAAGGCTTTGCAGTCTGGTGCATTAACCCACAGTGTCACACCAGGGCTCCAAAACAGATGGTATAAGCAGGGGAAAAAAATTAATAAACTCCAGGGCGACCTCAAAGAAAAATAGTATATGTGCACATGCACATCAAAATAAAAAAGGAAACCCAGAAAAATTTAGTAAACATTAACACAACAGAAATGAAAATGACAAGAAAACCCACAAATAAAATGAACTCAGCATAGGAAATGATATGGAACAAAGAATCCAGAAGCACCACAAAAAGCACAACACACACACAGAAAAATGACAACAATCAGTTGATACCTATTGATAATTACACTGAATGTAAATGGATGAAATTTACCAGTCAAGAGACTTACAGAGCAGAATGGATAAGAAAACAGGATCCGTCCATATGCTGTCTACAAGAAAACTCTGCGAGGGGACAAGGAGGTTTTCCAGCTTCAGCAATTTCCCCATGCATAGATGTTGTTAAGTATTGTCTTGTTGTCGAGTCAGTTCTGATTCATGATGAAAGCATGGAATCTTCGCCTTTAAGAATTCTAGTTTCTGTCATGCAAGAAATAACCTAAAAACTCTCCCGTCTCCCCTCACGAAAACTGTTTTGAGCTTTAGTTTTATGACCTCTGGAAACAAATGAAAATGTGCCTAAATCTTTAGTTTAAGCTGGTGGCCATTGGAGATAATTACCTGAGTGAAGGGGTCATGAAGACCCTAGAAAGGAAATGTTTTTTTAAGATAAAAAGAAAAGGTTCTGTTATTGCTCACCTCACTGTGGAATGTAAAGAAAAACATCAAATGTTTAGCTGATGTACACTGCTCTATATAATGTGCTTGTTTGGGGGAACCAGGAGGATAGTCTTGAGGGACCATCCTCCCTGTCCTCCAGACAGCTGGCCTTCTGTTAATAAAGATTCTCCTCATCTCTGTGACTGACTATAGTGACCAGGTGGCAAACCCTGTATAGTGTTTCTGAGGTTGTAAATCTCTGTGGGAGTAGAAAGCCTCATTTTTTCTCCCTCAGAGCAGCTGTGCCCTTGAACTGGCAACCTTGAGGTCCACACTCCACTGCTTATCCTACAGAGCCACGACACCTCCCTCTTATATTGACAGTGAGATGCGATCCACACTGATGGTTGTAGTCTTTGGTTTTCACCAGTAAATCCTCTTCTCTTTCAGCAAGATTGTGTCACATGCTTGTTGTGAAGCGCTGTCATACTGGTTCTAACACAGGCTTTCCAAGGAGTGGCTGGTGGCTTTGAACTGTGC